TTAATTAGTGCATTTTCCCGTCAGCAAAATAAGCAAAATTAAACCCAGTGAATAATTAATCCTTTTACAGTAGTGAATGTATTTTCGGATTGATTATTTAAATAGTTGATGTTATTGAAAATAATACCAGCTGTTGCACATAATTCAACCTAATTATTTGAGTCACTGAAAGTAATAAATATATCATAACTGCACCTTCTCTGAATATATTTATTTAACCCTTTGAGTGGTAATTTTTTTTTTACTTAAATTTAGTGCAATTTGTTCATATTTTCTGTAATTTTCACTGAATTCAATCTTAATTTTGGACCAAACAGACAAAATGTGACATCACTTCTAGTTTTTGATCAAAAAAGTTGAAATTTTTAATCACATTTTCTAAATATTTTCACATTTTCTGTAAATTTCACTGAATTCAATCTTAATTTTGGACCAAACAGACAAAATGTGACATCACTTCTAGTTTTCGATCAAAAAAGTTGAGATTTTTAATCACATTTTCTAAATATTTTCACATTTTCTGTAAATTTCACTGAATTCAATTTTAATTTTGAACCAAACAGACAAAATATGACATTGCTCCTAGTTTTTGATTTAAAAAATTTTAAGTTTTCACAACATTTCATGTGGAAATTAAAAATGAAACTATTTTGTTGATTGGGCCTGAAGTTGACTTCATGCTCAAAGGGTTAATCTATATTGAATACACTTGCTACATGCATAAATATAGTATTTACATGTATTGTTATATAAATGTATAGCTACAACATATGTCATGATGTTTTTTATTCATCAATTATCGGATTATATCGGAGTATTCAATTCATAACTAGATCCATTCCTAGACGACAGCAATGCTAAAGATATGAATACCGATCTACCAAAATGTACTGGTAATGTTTGTTTCAGGCTTTTTCATTTCAAAATATTGAAAATAAAAATTTTCAATTTCACTAATAATGAAATCGAGAGTAATTAATGCAGAACAATGTATTACGTTAATTATGTAATAAAGGAGCAATAATATGTACCTTGTTTAATTTGTGCTAACTACTGTAAAATACTTTATTTTCGCTATTTGCGCTGAAAAGATGATTCAGTGAAAATAAAGCGAATATAACTTTTTTCCTATATTTTACACTCAACTCATCAAAAATCAGTGAAAATAAATTCCATACAAAACACCCAAAAAGCCGTTTCAGTATTTTACAGTATATTTAACTTGGGAATTCATAACTAAACATATTAAAGTCATTATCACGATTTGTAATTGGCTGAATTTGCATTTGACGACTGAAAAGAGAGATGGAATAATGTAACAGAATAGCTGGATAGTATATGTCAATATATGTTATTAAATTCATTGACAATATTAAACACTGAAGTTATTATTAAACAAAAAGTTAAAGATCGCCCCCTATTGATAACATTTAATATTAAAAACAAGCAGTCTCTCGGCTGAGATAGCTCCGCTGTTAGCAAGGCACATTTTAATTAAAGAACTGAAGATATCATTATAAAATGAACAATATGTATAGTATGTATAGCAATCGGACTTGCTGTTTTCAACAAGAATTCAAAAATATCACTTTTTACCAAAAATATTCACCAAAATTAGATAATTGAAGATATCATCACGAAATGAACACATCTGAAAGAGGTCCACATGTAATACCTATATATATATAATAGCAAAGCAATCAGACTTACGATTTTCAACAAGAAGTCGAAAATATCACTTTTTACCAAAAATTACAAAAATATTCACCAAAATTAGAGAATTGAGGATATCATTACAAAATGAACAAATCTGAGAAAGGTCCACATTTAGTACCTATATATGTAATATCAAAGCAATTGGACTTTTGGTTTTTAACAAGAAGTCGAAAATATCACTTTTCACCAAAAATTACAAAAATATTCACCAAAATTAGAGAATTTAAGATATCACAAAATGAACAAATCTGAGAAAGGTCCACATGTAGCATCTATACATGTAATATCAAAGCAATTGACACAGACGCCGGACGCCAACGAACAATCACTCATATGATAAGCTCCACTCGACAAAGTCGACAGCAGAGCTAAAAATGGGAAAAAAATGCTGAAAAAGAGGGTAAAAATAATTCAAAGAAAAAAACGCATGACAATTTATAGTATTCCCCATTCGAAATAAAACAAGTCATTGTCAATGACACGTCCCCGTTCTGTTCATATTTGAGTGGCATATATATTCAAAGCAGATCATGACCGAGATCTCAGACCACTTTCAGTGGTCTGATCCGAAATGCACCTGCATATGTACAACACATTGTACTAAATCTGAACAAAATCCATTCATGCATGACTGAGATCCGGTTCCGGAATTGTGAAAATACGTGATTTTGATGCATTTTCGACCTTAAAATGGCCATCATTCAGCTATTGTTAAGCGGATCATGAAACAAATGCACATACATATTTGTGACATGATGTACCATGTGTGTGAAGTTTAAACTTGATCAATCCAGACATGTCTCGGATACGGATCCAGAACTGAATTCTTTAAAACAAAATGGCCACCAGTCGGCCATTTCAAACTTGATCCGGAAAAAAAAATGACGTGCATCAAGATCCTATTATGTTTAATGTATGTACCAAATTTGAACAAAATCCGTCCATGCGAAACTGAGATCCGGGTCCGGAATGGTGAAAATGTGCGATTTCAATGCATTTTTGGCCTTAAAGCGGCTGCCATTTGGCTATTGTTAATGAGATCATGAAACAAATGCACATACATATTTGTGCATGATGTACCTTGTGTGTGTGAAGTTTGAACTCGATCAATCCAGACATGTCTCAGATACGGATCCAGAACTGAATTCTTTAAAACAAAATGACCGCCAGTCGGCCATTTCAAACCCGATGCAAAAAAAAAAAAAAATGACGTGCATCAAGGTCCTATTATGTTTAATGTATGTACCAAATTTGAACAAAATCCGTCCATGCATAACTGAGATCCGGGTCCGGAATGGTGAAAATGTGCGATTTTGATGCATTTTCGGCCTTAAAATGGCCGCTATTCGGCTATCAGTAATCGGATCATGAAAAAAATGCATGTGCATATGTCCCATATAATGTGTAATGTATGAGTGAAGTTTGAACTTAATCGGTCCATGCATGTTCGAGATACAGATGATCACGGACGCACGGACACACGGACGCACACAGGGCAAACCATAAGTCCCCGTTTTCCGACTACGTCCGAACGGGGACTAATAAAAAATAAGACAAAATTAAGTCTCTAGCATGGAATTTGAATTCATGAACTTCCACAAGCAAAGGTCTTAACCACGACACTGTGTATTCTTTGTAAAGCGCTATGTACACTTTCAAAAATCACAATTTTTGGAAGATCAACTCTGAAATCTATACAGGCCAACTATACCTACAGATCAACCATAGCGATCGGCTGAATATTATTGGAGTTATTGCGCCCACAAGAAAGTTTACTATGACGATGATGCCTGATGACGACGCCAGATGCCGGATGACGACGCCAGATGCCGGATGCCGAACGCCAGACATTCTATCACTACTATGCCTTTCCCTTCACGTCATTATACCGGTGTCTACGTCCACTTGTCTGTCTCTGTATGTATGGCTATTGACACATAAGTATTAACTCTTCTGTGATTTTTTTTGGCCGGGCTGATTATGTCCAAACTTGACAGGCCAAAAAAAAAAATGATCTAGCCATGGCATTTTTTCTACAAGATTCTAGACATATCTCATTCTACTTTGCTTGAGTGTGTGTCCAATGTTACAATTTTAAACTAAGTTTATCAAGTGTTCAAATCATTCAACTTTATTGAGTATTGCAGTTCATTGAACATTCAGTCTAACAAGCAACCGTTCAAGTTTAACAAGCAAGTTCATATTTAAGTAAGTTTCTAAAGTTTCCACTGTATTTATTGTCAGTCCTAGAACCTTTTGAGCCTACAAGCTTGTCTATGTATCTGTACGTATCACCTTTTCTGTAATTTTTTTTGCCTAGACCGATATTGTTCAAACTTAGTGGTAACACCTACGCTTTAATTAGATGAAACAATTTTTAAAATTCTGTCCTACCATTGCCATGGCCAACAAAATGTTTCTCTGCATCCACCAGCAGATCGCTAATCAATCTACTGGCTTGTTTATTAGTTTACTGTAAAATATTTATATTAATATTAATTTTTGCTCTTTTCAATGAAGGAATGATTCAGTGAAAATAAAATCCAGCAAATATATCTTTTTTCCTATAATTGACATTCAACTCGTCAGAAATCAGGGAAAATAAATTCCATACAAAAAAAAAAATTATTTTCAGCGAAAATTAATTCCAGTCAAAACAAAGTATTTAATTTAATAGTCACAGTATTTAATATTCAGATCAACAGGCAAGGTCTGGAAGCCCCAGCTCTTCTAGAGCAGTGCCATAAGTGAAAAAGAGGAACCATCATCCTGCAGAAATCCATTATTTTAACTGTGAGTGCTAGAAATATTAACATGAAATTATTACTTACAATGGCTTTATAAACATTCCAGTCATCGTCATTTAGACCAAATGTGTCTTCTTGACCTTTACCACTTACACTTTTACCTGACAGAAACAACGGAAGACAATCATGACTTTAGAACAGAAAACAAGACCTTCCCACGTATAAACATGTGGGTACTTGCATGCCGAAATACCAACACACTCATGTACACTAGACAGAGTGGCCAACCGAGAAGTCAATCTATCCATGTTTGTAGTTTGAGCCAGTCTTTGAATTGCAGACAATGTCGTATATAGCAGGATTTCAGTAATTCACTACTCTGGTGATGTGAGCAGGAAGTATTAAGCACTTTTGTACATCATCTGTGACAAATAAACAAGATATTTCTACATGCTCACTTACCATGCGCTAACTGTGTCAATATTCTCATCCTTTCCTGCGATGCTTGACTTTTTCTTTTCGCTAATTGTGACTTCAGCTGCTGTCTCTGAGCCCGACTCTCGAGCAGATCCTGTAACGAGATGAACGTAAAATGTTATTTGGCAACAGAAAGAGTGTTGAAACCATTCAAGCCCATCATGAGTTCGTTTGAAGTCAAAGCAATAGCTTGTTACTGTCCAGAACGATTGATAATGCTTAGAGAAAATTTATACTGTAAAATGTGTAATTTTCACTGGGTTTAAATTTTGCTGATTTTACATTTCAGGCATATTCAGTGTGTTCAGGCAAATTCACGGTTTTATCATTTAGATAATGTTCTCTATGCTAAATTTTACATATTCACTGGGTTTTAATTTAGCACATTTTCCAGTCAGCGAAATAAGCAAATTAAAACCCAGTGAATAATTAATCCTTTTACAGTAATTAGATGTTATGCCAACTTTTAAGTTAAGTTAAATTTTAAGTGACTATATGTGACTTTACCAACACCACCCATAGTTAGACAAACTTTTTGTTTTGTGGCAATTTGAAAGAGTCAAAATGTTAAAATTCACAGCATGTATAGTGGTAATTTCAATAAAGGCCATTTAATTTTTGAGATTGTTGATAAACAACAAACTGATGTTGACTTTATTGGAAAGTATACACAATAAAGATTACTTTCTGTGCATAGTGCCTCACAAAGTTTTTTCAGTGAACTTATTATTTTTCAATTTGTTGAGAAAGTTTTTGAGAATATAAAAAGTTCAAATTCAATCTTAGATATAACAGAATAGTGGAATATCAATTATTTCAATATATTTCTCTTTTCAGATATGAAAAATCTGACACTGAGGGCACTGTTCCAAAACATGACATCATCAGAGAACAAGAAAGTGGAAGATTGCTGTTACACCAGAATTAAAATAATCTTGATAATGTAGTCAAAGAATTGTTCACTCTTGAGATCATACTTTGAAGCAGCGCCCTCTGTGCCAAGTCTTGAACACCAGAATGCAACAGTTAGATACTGTAAAATACTTTATTTTCATTTAGAATTAATTTTCACTATTTTTGCTGAAGCAATGATCAGTAAAAATAAAATCTAGAGAATAAACTTTTTTTCCTATATTTTACATTCAACTCGTCAAAAATCAGTGAAAATATATTCCATACAAAACACCCAAACGGTTTTTCAGGGAAAATTAATTCCACCTAAAATAAAGTATTTCACAGTAGTTTACCTGTCTTTGTGTTCTAATGTCCGATATCCAGCCATCAAAGTCCACTTGTCGTTTTGCTTCCATTTCTTTCATTTCTAATTCTTGCTGAGCTCTTTGCTCCTCTCTGGCTTTCTTTGATTTTAATCTTGCATCGCTGGCATTCTTCAGAATCCTCTGGCGTCTTTTTTCTTCTTTCTGTTCTAACGTAAGTGCTTCATCTGGAATGTCTATCAAGTCGTAAACGGGCTCCTCTTTACAAGTTGTCTGTCACCCAATATAGAATGAAACAATTGTTGCAATTCAATAGAGGGATTTCGTAATAACCCCAAAATAATCTGTTTATCACGCACCATTGTGTTGATTAAATGCAACATAATCAAAGTCGAATAAAGCACATGATGTTACGGTATACATTTATGCACATGATTTTGTGTGCTGAAAACTTAGTAATATCAACCATTTTATCACTAGCTCCCTCTTTTCATCACAAATCCACAAGTCCTGTTTATAGTCTGCACTTTCTTTCAGAAGATCGGGACAAACATAGCCAAATTTTTTGAGTGAAACTGAAAATTTATTCAAATTTTGTCTATTGGCTCTAAAATTAGCGTTCTTTCCCAGAAATATTGAAGAATGGAAGAAAAAAATTTGGGCGAAAAAGTCAAGTGGTGAAAAGATTAAATCTAATACTGTAGAATACTTTATTTTCGCTATTTTCGCTGATGGGATGATTCCGTGAAAATAAAATCCAGCGAATATACTTTTTTTCCTATATTTCACATTAAACTCATCAAAAATCAGTGAAAATAGGTTCCACACAAAACGCCCAAAAAGCCTTTTCAGCGAAAATTAGTTCCAGCAAAAATAAAGTATTCCACAGTATTGCAGATTTAAATCAGAATTTCAAAAATTATCACATGTTTAATGGGGACAATTATTTGGAACTACATGTATCCGGAAACCTGCACGCCCTCAGGCAGTCAGGTTGGGCAAGGATAGGAAATCATCTGTTCATGGACTCTTCCAAAACTGTTTAAAATCAACATGTTTTTAGAATTTCTGGAGTAAATTCATTGTTTTGCAATATTAATATTTTAATATGGCTCAGTTGTAAGCAAACAAAATCTTATTAACATGTATAAAAACTATTTTCTAAGTTTCATAAAACATTCTAACTAATTAAATTATTTGATTTTCATTATACATGTATATGAATATACAGTTTTCAAGTTACTTTGTTGTGGTCTTTCAGTAATTTGTTGTAAATGTCAAGAACATTAATTGTCTAAACTCAATGATTTCAATGCCATGGGATAAATACAACTGTCATTATTCTATTTTTTTCAGAATCACACATCTTCATGATTAATTCATTGAACTTTGTATGTAATCTAATGCTTATCTGTATCATTGGTAAAATTTTCCTGTTTTCGTTTCGTTTTTGTTCGAAGTGCATGTGATTTTCTTTAGCATCCTACCTGAATTTGGTGTCCATTTTGAATTTGCCACGATTCAGACAAATCATTCTCAGAACTCAATTTAACTTTCTCATATTTTGAAAAAGTCATCACTTTGTTAAATAGATACAGATGCAAATAATCACTGAGATATCGCTGATAGCACCTAAAATAGTGTTCCATTCTGTTCTGCTGTTCCACTGATCTATGTAACCATGGTAATTGGAACAGTTTACGGGAAGATGGGAGAGAATGAAACACTATATGATGGGTGGAAATAAGTCTTGCAGCTGTCGCTCTCATCAAGATAAAGCCACATACCTCCTGATTATTGGAATCTTCCGTTTGTTCCACTCCAAGGATTTTATCTTTGATTCTTTGCATGGATAGTGTTAATTTATTCACAGCAGTTTGCAGTTCATCAGCGGAAGAATAACCAAACTTCTCCAAGGCTCTCTAAAATATAAAACTGTTACGTATTAAAAAGACCATGACATAGTGGTTTAGTGCAGGAAACATCACAGGACAAAGGGGTGTTGTGAGAGTGTACCCAATGTTCTGTGGTATTAGATACTTGTACACTGGCTGCTTTAATTTAAAGGGGAAGTCAAACCAAACAACATAATGCTCCCCAAGAAAAGAGCTCCACAAATGTAGGAGAATCAATTTACAGTTTTTGTATATCACTTTTTTTGTTTTAGATACTGTAGAATACTTTATTTTCGCTTGGAATTTATTTTTGCTATTTTCACTGAAGGGATGATTCCGTGAAAATAAAATCCAGTGAATATACTTTTTTTCCTATATTTCACATTAAACTCATCAAAAATCAGTGAAAATAAATTCCAAGAAAAACGCCCCAAAAGCCTTTTCAGCGAAAATTTATTCCAGCGAAAATAAAGTATTCCACAGTATGTGACTTTTCACCAGTATTATGTAATCCGCCATCTTGATTCTCCAGCCAAGGATTATCCTATGCTGAGGATGGCGGATTACATAATACTGGTGAAAAGTTGATTATCTAGAGAATGAAAAGTGATATACATATACTGTAAATTGCATGTCCTTACATTTGCTGTGCTCTTTCGTTTTGGAGTATTCTGTTGTTACCCTTGACTTTTCCTTTAAATTTAAGTACTAGGCAAGGTCACTATAATTTCCCCATCAACAAATAATTATTTAATCATAGACCTTCTAAGGTCTATGGTTTAATATATACCATTTGCTGACAATGACCACTCAGAAGCCTGGACAATCCCTGTTTTGCAACAGCACTGCTTAAAATAACTTCACCCTATCTACAACACACTGAAATTTTCAGGCCAGATGCCTTGAAGTTTGCAGTGGGGAATTATGGCTTGTTACACCACGGCTTGTCTCTCATTGATGCAAGAAATCACCAGCTGCAACACGGTTGCCGATTGTCTAGTTGTGGCTGTCACTTCGCTGGTCTATAACTGGTTTATTGTCAGAATCTAGTAAATTGTCTGAAGATACCAGCTCGAGTGTAATCACAGGAAAAATTTATGTATTTCAGAATTATACAATGAGAAAAATGAGAAAATAAAAAGCTCAGCAAAAACAAACTTAGTTCCAAGACTCGCACACTGGTGTTAATATTTCGAGAAATGTAACTACATGTATGTTTATTACATGATTTACTTTGATCTACTCTTATCTCATGTATATTTGATCTCAGTTAATACTTTTGACGGAAAAATTACAGAGCACAAAATATTTTGTGAAGGGTGACAAAAAGTTGACTAAAGTTATAATTGCATTTATTGGAGGAAATAACTAACTAACATTGAATGCATCCTCATCCTCGTCTTCTAGGAGTTCCTGTATACTCATTAACTGTTGTAGTTTTTCTTGTTCGGCTGCGAGCTGAAAACAACAAAATCAAGTTATTAGTGATGAATACAAGGGTAAAATAATTTTAATGACAACACAAATTTGAGCACAGATTTCAAACTGCTGTGGAGATGACAAGAAACAAAACTTTTTTTTGTGGGCTATATAGAAGAATCTAGAAAGACACAAAATAATGAAATAATATTCAGTTGATGTTGAAAACCATGACAATGTCAATGATGACAGATATTATGATGTATAGTTGTGATGTTCCTTAGATGTGATGCTACCAAATACCAGTAAAACAAATAATGCAAAATACTCAAATTCATGAATAATTTTACAGTGTGGATTACATTAAACATAGTTTGCAAAAATTCCAATCACACTGAATCATAAGGCTAACGCTAGTGACCATTTTTAATCGAAAAATTATACCATATTTTTAACAAGCAGCCTGTTGGCTGAGATAGCCCTGAAAGGCACATTTCAATTGAAGAACTGAAGATATCATTAGAAAATGAACAATATGTATAGTATCAAATCAACCAGACTTGCTGTTTTCAACAAGAAGTCAAAAATATCACTTTTTACCAAAAATATTCATCAAAATTAGAGAATTGAAGATATCATCACTAAATGAACAAACCTGAGAGAGGTCTACCTGAGGTACTTATAATGTATAATATCAAAGAATTGGACGTGCAGTTTTTTACAATCAGACTAGCGGTTTTCAACAAGAAGTCGAAAATATCACTTTTTACCAAAAATGACAAAAATATTCATCAAAATTAGAGAATTGAAGATATCATCACAAAATGAACAAATCTAAGAGAGGACTCCCCTAAGAATCTATGTTGCAAATATGAAAGTATTTGGTTTAACGGTTTTGAAGAAAAAGACAAAAATGTAAAAAGTTGACAACAGACTACATACTACAGACGACGACGGACAATCACTCATATGATAAGCTCCACTCGACAAAGTCGAGAGCGGAGCTGAAAAGTAAATTGTTCAACCTTTCAGAGAGTTTCTGCGTTAAAAATACTTAAGTAGTTACCATTTGTATATAATTTACAGACAAAATAAAAAAACATACCCTTTCTTCTCGTCTTTTTGCATTCATAGCCTGTAACCGTTTGACTTGTTGTTGTTTTCTTTCTTCTTTGTCTTTGGCAGATAATGAACTTCCTGGAATCTAGAAGAAAAAAGGTTCTGCTTTTTTTCTGAGTTTCTCAGGATTTATCCTGATCACATTTTCACTTGGTGTAGTCAATGGCAACACATGGCAACTAAATGAGTTTCTATATAAGGAAATGCGAATTCTAAATATGGAATGATTAAGCGTCTTCTAATAAAAACAAACATGGCTGCCACTAGGGTTTGACAGGACTCCACACAAAGAAGTTTGCTGATTCTGTTCTAAACTTTTTTGATTTCGGCATTCCCATGATGACTCAGACTGTACGCCACTGCGCGTTGGTCGATACTCCCACTGTACTGTCTTCGTGCATATTTTGAGCTATCCTTGTAATAAAATCATATGCTGTGTTTTTTCCCACACATACTTAATAACCTAAACAAGAAAGCTATTAAAGATGGCAGATCCCACAGCATTGTTTCATGACTGTGTAGGGGGTGACAGTTTTGATTGCACACTGAAACAGTAACTGAATACAGCTAACAGTAGTGCATATCTCAGTTGTGGAGCATGTAGGGTTGAAATTAGGGTTTAGCAAATCAAAATACAATTTACAAATCTTGGTTTCAATGTAACATAATGACAGACACGCATACTAATTTCCTCGGTAGATGATGAGTGTTCAATTTAAATTTGTTCTCACCAATTTGTAAAATATAAAAATTTGCGTGTATGACTACAACACACACCAAATTTGAAAATGATGAGTGTTTGAACTTCTTTAGTAATGACACTGTATAAACGAATGTGTGATAAGGATCATTCATCTTCTGCCAGTATTACATGGTGAGGAATAATCAAAAGCTACCGTACTTACTGGTGTGAATGGCAGTTGTATTTTATGTACATTCTCGTAGTAATATTCCAAAGAATTCCAGTCATTAAGTTCGTCCTGATAATCAACAGCCATGTAACAGTGTTCATTAGTCAGTTCCTAAGAAAAAAAACATTAATTGAGTTTAAAACATAGCACACCTAGTGTAGCCTTGCCAAATTTTGAGTGGCACTAATGCACTGTGCAGCGAATCATTTCAAAAACCGAATACAGTAAAGTGTTGACTTTACAGCAGTGTCAGTTTATAGAAATCTTTCATAAAAGTAAACAAAGCTAGGGGAACATGGACTAAAAGTAAACAAAGCTAGGGGAACATGGACTAAAAGTAAACAAAGCTAGGGGAACATGGACTAAAAGTAAACAAAGCTAGGGGAACATGGACTAAAAGTAAACAAAGCTAGGGGAACATGGACTAAACTGATCTAGGGAATTTTTCAAATTATCTACAAACAAACATATGCATATGTCGCATGAGACTGGTATCTCGTTGCAATCACTACTGCTTTTTAAGCTTCAACAAGTTTCACTGTATGGATACCAGAGTGTCCAATTATTGAGAAGCATACTGCCAGTCTATAGGAGATTTTCAGCTTATGATAACATCTGTTGCAATGTTCTGAATCTCGTGACAAAAGAGATTTTCAGGTCATTTCTGTCAATGATGTCATACGTGTAAAAAGCGAGGTCATTAAACAGACATTTTTAATATTTTTTTGTATATTTCTGACTTATTCGCTATGTACATTAATAAGTTCCTGAGCTGAGAAAAGTTTTAAGTATATTAATAGCAGGAAAAACATTGTACTAAATACAACCAGTACCGTAAACATTCTATTAATAGACCATTTTTCTATTCATTTCACTTGTTATGTATTTCCCTTGAAACAAACGTAAAGCTGGACAAAGGTCCATGGTCTTAATGGCGTCAAAACATCATGTGATTTTTTTTGAGAGAACGACTTTAAACAGGAATTATTTCTTAGGATTTACCAAAAAAAATCCTTATCAGGGTGTGATGCTACCCGGTAAATGCACATCCTACATAAATGGTGTGCGAATGAACACAAACCTTTCACAGACTTTTTTTTTTAAATGTTTTTGTGCCAGGCGACAGTTCCAGGCATTGAATGTGCTGACACATAGTGCATTTTGCCACAGAAGTCATTTCCTGTTTGGGACTACATGACAGGGCTGTGTGGCCATCTCCCTATCAAATGGCAATTTTAATATGCTATCCTGGCATCAACCAGGCTTGGTCGAACACACGCACCTGCGGACCTTAACCAAGGTTCCCCCAAAGTCGCATTCATTAGTGAATGAATCTCGGCCAGTGGAATTGGCCTTCCCATTGAGTCTGTGGCATATTCACCCAGGGTAGGGGTAGACCCTTTTGATGTTCAGCCTAAGGTAGGATTTGAACTTGGGTCTACCAATCATGAGTCGGATGCGACAACCACTATGCTAGCAGTGACCGGTTACAGACTTACTAACATACATTAAAAAGTCTAGAATGTAGGATTCTCTTGCGATTTTTTAGATCATCTAACAATTCTTGATGAGACTTCTTCAATTCATGTATGCTTTTCATTGCATATTACACACTTAAATACTCTAATCTTATAAATCATTAACCTTTTCACCACCATACTTCCTTGCCCAAATTTGTCTGCACTTTTTTCTTATATTCTTCAATATTTCTGGAAATAAACACTAATTTTAGAGTCAACAGACACAATTTGAGTCAATTTTCAGTTTTTTACTTAAAAAAATGGTTATTTTTGTTCCAATCTTCTGAAGGAAGTGCAGTATATAAACAGGACTATTTTGTGAATTTGTGATGAAAAAAGGAAACTGGTGGTGAAAAGAATAAACTTGTGATGTGATAATATTATGCATTTTAGTCTGAAGAAAAGTGCTAACATTAGTTGTAGCTATTTTCTTGTATAACCTGTGGAGAATGGCTTAACAATTACGCTATGCTAATTCCTAATTCTTATTCTGAGTGACTGACCTCTGATCGGCTCAATGTAATGGCTGTAAAATGTGCTGGGTATTTGAGTTGTAGTAATCGATGCATAAATGATGTAGCGTGAGAACTACCGATGTTAATTCTCTTGCAGTTAGTAGAATTCACTCGACCATTGATGACAGGTATGACATGCGTTGCTTGGTAACCAGAGGATAAGATAATAGCATCAGTACTGGCTGTTTATAAAGACAAATATGCTAATGTGAATTCCATTTTACAAACTCAATAACTACATGTATTTTAAAGATTACTATTATAACAATGTATGGTTTCCCGTTGCGTAAAGGTCTTGCAAAAAAAAAAGTTTTTGGTAAAATGTTTTTAAAAAATGGGATGATTTATTTGTTTCCATGGTGCACAAATGTTGCAAGTTTAATCAATTCGTCATTTGAGGGCGCTATGCAGTGATAAAAGCTCCCACTTATTTTGGTAGGGTGTACGTTGACTACAGACATTCAATTTCAGGCCTAATTGGTACACCAAGGAATGAGCATAATTATTCGAATCACAAAAAGTCACTGCATGTCTTATCGGTCTATAAAAGAACACACTACTGCAAAGAAAAGTATAATATTGATGACTCACCAGCTTTTGGTTGATTGTAATAAAGGCTGAAAAGACTATCCACTCCATATGCAACTTTTGGAACGTGGTAACATTCAAATAATAACTCTGACATCACTGAAAATATTATAATATGAGATTAATGTTATTAATCTTGGGGAAAATAAGTTTGAAATTCAAGTTCAAGTCAATCCCACAATGTCATTGTGAAATCCCAGGGATTGATAGGTATCTCTTTAACCTTTTCACCACCAGTTCCCTCTTTTTATCACAAATTCACAAAATACTCCCATTTATAGTCTGCACTTTCATTAAGAAGACAAAAATAGCCAAATTTTTTGAGTAAAAACTGAAAATTTACCCAAATTTTGTCTGTTGGTTCCAAAATAAGGGTTCATTTCTAGAAATGTTGACGAGAAAAAAGTGCAGAAAATTTGGGCGAGAAAGTCTAGTGGTAAAAAAGTTATTTATTAAAATAATAATGAACTGCTCACAGTGCCATATTGGATAAGCAGTTGGTTCTGTGCAAGACAGTATGCGAGGTACAGTTTGCACATTATTGAGGTGGCTGGTGCATAGATAGGATACAGGGACCATGCACACTAGTTAGTTCAGTCACTACACAACACATTGTGAACATATTGACACAAGTTGAAACATTCATCAAGTTAAAGTGCATTAATTGTTTTAGTTCTATTGTAGTACTAAGTTTTTGTTTGTTTGCCAAGAAAACAAAATTTACCAAATTTAATTTCAAAATAATGTTAAGCATCTAGTCTAGACAAGTGCAATGTAACACAACAGAGTAATAGAGTGAAATTAGACGTTTGATCTGCAAATGACATGTCTCTGAAATGGAGTTGGTGGGTATAGATGGAAAATGGTAATTTATAAAATTAGGGACAAATGACTTATCATTGAAAGAGGGGGGCATATATGGACAACTATGTGCTCATGATATGTTACAGAAAAAAACTTCTACATGTCTACCGTGTACAGAAAAAATACGCCTGTCATATGGTGATGAGTGATTTATTTTGTTACTTGTGTCCTCTGACATTAAATTAACAAAATAGTATTATGGGATATCATATTAAAATTCCTTTATCATATAAATATTCTTTCATGCACTAAGGGTAAAAAGTAAGCGCAAAATATAGTCTGTATTTTAAAATTAGATGTACATGCACTTGCACTGTTAATGGAGCTGTGAGTTATTGTTTGGTAAATTGCACTTCAAGACAATTGTTCAATATGCAATGAACTAGTATTGATAAAGCTTACTCACAGAACCCTGGGTATAAATACAAGTGATGAAAAAATCCACTTACACTGTCTGCAGTAATTCGGATTGCAAAGTGGTTCAGTTAACACGATAGGATGGTCCACCATTCCCTGTGTCTTGATACCCAAGTGTGAAAATATATAATCAAAAGTGACTTCCTGTACATCGTAGTGAGTCACAATGTTCCTGTCAAACTGCGTTTTCAGGAGCCACCTCACCACTTCAATGTTGCTGATGTCATTACCAATCTGGGTGCTTGTGTCTGCATCTTTTCTACCCCGTTGCTTAGCAACCACATTCTTGAACTGTAACCGTGGATTCTCATCAAATGCCCAGCCTACTCTGCAGTTGCAAGCACCTGATGAAAAGAAGACAGGATGAACAAGTCATTGTCAATGACACGTCCCCA